AACTGCACATGATGGTAAAAACTACCTCAACGGGCATTTATCCCTTTAGTTTTGTACGAAAAATAAACTGCACATGATGGTAAAAACTACCTCAACGGGCATTTATCCCTTTAGTCATGTAGAAAAAAAAATTTACTTACTTTTTGGATGTTTTTTGAAGCATATGGCGATCTTAACTTTAGAGAGTTGTTTTTGTACATGACTGAAGGGATTCACGCCCGTTGAGGTAGTTTAAAGTGTATTTTTCATACAAAACTAAAGGAATAAACACAAACCTGGCGTCTTGTGCTGCGTATTGAGGTATGCTGGTCTGACAGAACAACGGCCTCTGAAATGATCTGCAGCAGAAAGTAACCAGGACAGTTCCAGCTGCATCAGGTCCATGTCTGACTGTAAACGTCTCGGATCAGGAGGGAAATGTGGCTTCATGCATCTTTGGCTTCTTGGTTTTATTTTAGGCTGTTTTTAGGGGGGGAGCTGAGACGCATCAGATCTGAGCTCTGATCTCTCTCATTAAAGTGACGTTTTGGATCTTTATAAAAACTGACCTGATTGAAAGAATCAGCGGCATTAACCCTTTATAGGCCGCTCTGTCAAACACTTTCCAGCCAGCAGAGTTACTGGAATCCAGGACAGACCTGATTACCTCTGAAACATTCAAAGAATATGGATACTTTATTGGTAAAAATAAATGTCAATGTAATAAAAGAAACACCAACTTGCCTGAATATATTACAGGGTTCCCGCGGGTCCTTAAAAAGTCTTAAAAGGCATTGAATTCTTCAAAATAAAACTTAGGCCTTAATTGGTATTAAAATGTCTTAAATCAGTCTTTCGTAGGTCTTAATTTTTAAAACATCATAAATAGGATTATTTTTATTATGATTTATTTTTGTAATCTAAATAAAACGTTAAAATTGACGTTTTTTATTTATTTATTTTTTATTTAAAAAAAAAAATAACGGCTCGCCAATATTGGTTCCGTCCCGATAGCTTTTCAAAATTTGGAACAGCGCAGTGGTTTATGTTAAAATAAACCTTTGGGTTAAGTTGTCGCAAGCAGGTTTTTCTTGTGTTTCTTGTGAATTTGGTCTTAAATTTTATTCCAAGTGGCATTAAAAAATCTTAAAAAGTCTTGAATTTAACTTGCCTTATGCTGTAGGAACCCTGTATTAAGGAAAATATAAAAAAGTGCTTCTATAAGAAATTCATTAAAAACACTTGAGAGCGAAAGAAACACATTTTTCTTGGTCCACCATAACCTTAGAGGCATTAATGCTGATACTGGAACTGAGGTTTTAGTTTATAAACCTAAATCTAATTGTTAACGAGGTTTATTAACGTTTTAACTTTTCAATCAGCTATTTAGCTTTTTTTTCTTGACTTAATTTTTTTTTCCAACTCAAAAAAAAAAAAGCCAAAATCAGATGTGCAGCCATGTATCAGGATATTTGCTGAATGGCTGGATATAGATCTTGTGCTTCTAGACGTCACTGAGGGACGGGGCTCCAAACACACTAACTTGCCCTATGAAGGGATAAAACCTTAACCAAAAACAAAAGGTGTTTATATCACTAATGTTTCTCTGTGTTTCATGTAGGGCTGAACCATTTTTTCAAAAATCAAAATAGTGATAATTTTTCACCAATATTGTGATTTTTCTTTGCACTAAGCAGAAACAAGTAGATGTTTTATTCCAGGGTTTCAGTTGTCCTTGAAAGCCTGCTGGTCCACAATCCAGCTCTGCAGGAACATGTTGTAACATCTGCATGAAAAAGTTTTCACTTCTACTATAATGCATAGATCTAGGTGCTGAAGCTGCAGCTCTCTGTTCCCTTCTGTACGCCCACTCTAATGGTATTACCGCCACCTAAAGGGCTGGAGGGAGAAATGTAGTGTCTAACTCTTGTTTGGGACTCTTGTATTGAAGAATTGAGAATCTCTGCGGTTTGAAAGTAGCATTTTCCTAAACTGCGATTTTATTGCAAATGAAATTAATTGCCCAGCCCTAGTTTCATACTGCCTAGAGGATGATTCTAGAAGATGTCGCACAGCTTCAATTGGACATCCCCCGCTGCGCCCCGCTCCGCCGCGCTCCAGACCGCCTGCGTAAAGCGAATCTGTGTGAATCTGTGTAATCTAACTGAAAGGTCATTTTATGATCAGTTTTGTTCTGTGACATGGAAGAGATTATTGTCATATTATCTCTGACTCGTCTTTCATGGGATTAAAATGAGATCTAAGACGCCTCCTGTTCATTCTGACAGCAGCTGTCTGAACTGTGGTCTGATCCAAGATGGCCGCCCTCTAGGCACGTCGGCCTCACTGCCACAGTGTCCAATGAGGCGTCTATGTATTAATGTCTATGCGTGCAGCACCCAGCGTCTGCTAGGCTAGAGGGCGACCCCGACACGGCGTTATGTTTAGCTAGATTTCATTTCTCATTTTCAAACCTGTTTTGGGTTTGACTTGAGTTTGTTACCGTTGTTGATTTGGAGGTTCGTCCACTCGGTGGACCTGGCAGCTCCTCTGGCTGCGGCGTCTGGATGTCCTCATTCTGCTTTCTGAGGGACGTCTAACCATTTCTGCACCAGTTCTAGCTGTTAAAAGCAAAGCGATGCTCCTGGTTCCAGGTGAGACAGACACCCAGCAGCTAATCCCAGCTCACTTTAGCTTCATGTGCTTCTATACCA